CCCATCGGCGCCCAGCCTCCGCCTCGGGCGGCCTCGCCCCGCCGCCGCCTCTGGTGGCCTCGCCCCGCGCCGCCGCCTCCCCCTCGCCGCGTGGCCACGTCACCGGATCCCGAGCTCCTCAGGTCGCGCCATGGCCAGATCCGGGCCGGTGTCGCCCGGATCCGGCATCCCCGTCCTCTCCGACGATCTCCTCCAAAAGCTCCGGCCACCACCGCAACCTCTCCAGCGAGTTCTCCGGCGAACCTCGTCAACCGTGCCCGGATCCAGATCCAGAGAAGACCTAATGTTGACCCTGAGATTTTCGTCTAAGTCCTAGTTTTTTGACATTCTGATGCACTATTCAGCATGCCATATCTCCTCATCCGTAGCTCCACATTGAGAGATGCTCTACATTTTGTCCCACTATGCTATCTTTGTTAGAGGTCATCTTGATGACCTAATCATCGTCGCAAGAGTGCTATATGATGTTAACTGTTGTCTGTTATCAAAACTTGGTGATTTGTCTTTTTCGTTGCATTTTGTGTGTTCATCCTATGAGCATGAGCTATACATGTGTTTTGTACTACATCATGCCATATTCACAGTGGTGCAATTGATTTATTTGTTTGGGTCTTATAGTGAGTGCATCGAGCTCGTGAAGTAGGGTACTTGTTGTTACTGTTTTGCTAGACTGATTCTGTTATATTATGATGTTATATAAACCTGCTACTACAAGTCATTCTATGCATAATCTGGAGATGTTCACTAAGGCTGTTTTGTTATACATGCCATGCCCTATCCGTACATGTCCCTGGTTGAATTTATAGCCTTCCGTAGCTTGTTGTAATCTTGCTCCAAACTGCTAAATAATGTTGCTGTCAGCCTGTTAACATTAAGTTCAGTTTTTCCATGAGCTTTGCTAGTGATCCATGCACCCTATGAACTTGCTCTTGACATGCTTAGCTTCATAAAAATGTATTATTACTTTTTATTACCTTGTCATGCCATGTATTGATCTGTGGTGAGTGATATAAGCTCACAAACATGTCTACTTATTGTTGTTCCTCCCATGTATGAATCTGTCATATCTCTTGCTATGTTTACATGGGTGCCATCATATTTTCTGTGCCCTTTTGGCTCATGGTCAGTAAGGGACTTTTGTTATAAGTAATTAGTAGATTCATGCCATGCCTTGGGTTGCCATGATATGTTCCTATAGCATGTTGTTTGATAGCTCTAAACATTGCAACCTGATGTTATTTTCTGATAAGTCTGAAATTGTTATTATTTGCAATCTTGCCATGTCCTTTTGAGCATGTTCTAGTGATTTCTCGAGATAGCTTGATTTCTCGAGATAGCTCAGTGTACATGTTTTGTCATTCTTTACCTGTAAATCATGTCCATACCTTTTGTTTTCATATTGTGGTACTAGGATTTCTAAGTTGCTTGATCATTGCTAGCTTCACGACCATTCCTTTGCTTCTCTTCTCGCTCTTATTTGCGTATGTTAGCCACCATATCATGCTTAGTCGCTGCTGCAACCTCACCACTTTACCCCTTCCTTTCCCATTAAGCTTTGCTAGTCTTGATACCCATGGTAATAGGATTGCTGAGTCCTCGTGGCTCACAGATTACTTCACCAACAGTTGCACGTATAGGTTTTGCGATGATCATGACGCGAGAGCGATGTTTACTTGTTTTGGAGTGCTGTTTCTGCTTCTTCTTCGATCAGGGGATAGGTTCCAGGTCAGCAGCCTGGGCTAGCAGGGTGGATGTCGTTTGAGCTTCTGTTTGTGTTTCGTCCGTAGTCGGATGTTGATCTTATGTTTGATGTATTGATGTATTCATGTGGCATTGTATGCCTTGTATGTATCCCCATCTATTATGTAATGTTGATGTAATGATATCCACCTTGCAAGAACTTTTCAATATGCGGGTCTATCCTTGGTGGGACCTTCGAGTTCCTTTTGGATAGGGTCGCATATTGGGCATGACAAAGGAGCTCCCGAGGACACATTGGGAATTATCGTCAAGCTAGTTTTCATCACGTTCATAAGATTCACGTTCGGTACTTTGATAATTTGATATGTGGGTGGACCGGCACTTGGGTACTACCCTAACATGGACAAGCATCCCACTTATGATTAACCCCTATTGCAAGCATCCACAACTACAAAAAGGAGTATTAAGGTAAACCTAACCATAGCATTAAACATATGGGTCCATATCAACCCCTAACGAAGCAACGCATAAACTAGGGTTTAAGCTTCTGTCACTCTAGCAAACCATCATCTACTTATTACTTCCCTATGCCTTCCTCTAGGCCCAAATAATGGTGAAGTGTCATGTAGTCGATGTTCACATAACACCACTAGAGGAAAGACAACATACATCTCATCAAAATATCGAACGAATACCAAATTCACATGACTACTAATAGCAAGACTTCACCCATGTCCTCAGGAACAAACGTAACTACTCACAAAGCATATTCATGTTCATAATCAGAGGGGTAATAATATGCATAAAGGATCTGAACATATGATCTTCCACCAAGTAAACCAAATAGCATCAACTACAAGGAGTAATCAACACTACTAGCAACCCACAGGTACCAATTTATGGTTTTGATACAAGATTGGATACAAGAGATGAACTAGGGTTTTGAGATGAGATGGTGCTGGTGAAGATGTTGATGGAGATTGACCCCCTCTCGATGAGAGGATCATTGGTGATGACGTTGGTGATGATTTCCCCCTCCCGGAGGGAAGTATCCCCGGCAGAACAGCTCCGCCAGAACCCTAGATTGATTCCGCCAAGGTTCCGCCTCGTGGCGGCGGAGTTTCGTCCCGTAAGCTTGCCCATGATTTTTTTCAGGGGAAAACCCTTCATATAGCAGAAGATGGACGTCAGAAGCCCACCAGGGGCCCAGAAGATAGGAGGTCGCGCCCGAGGGGGGGGCGCCCCCTGTCTCCTGGACAGGGTGTGGGCCCCCTGGCCTATTTATTTTGTCCAAAAATTCTTATTAAATCTAAAAAGTTGTTTCGTGGAGTCTCAGGTCTTTTGGAGTTGTGCGGAATATGTTTCCAACGTTTGCTCCTTTTCCAGCCAGAATTCCAGCTGCCGGCATCCCCCCTCTTCATGATGAACCTTGTAAAATAAGGGAGAATAGCCATAAGTATTGAGATATAATGTGTAATAATAGCCCATAATGCAATAAATATTAATATAAAAGCATGATGCAAAATGGACGTATCAGTGTATAAGCCGGGTGTCTTTCCCGAAATATGACGAGTGTTCTTGTCTAACCGAGCGTTTCTCAAACTTTGCTTGGTGTATGTTGGTGTAAGACGAAGGTCCTCCGTTTTCGGTGTGTTAGGGTTGATCGTTGGCTTACGTTGTTGTATGCTGAGTGGACAACAAATTATATTCGGTTTACGACGAAACACAAGACAACGTATATTTTTTATGTAGTGCTTTTTGCCGAGTGCCCATGGAAATACACTCCTTGGCGTACAAGATTTTTCATGCAGTGTTTCTTTCACGATCCTATTAATTGTAGAGCCACCCCTTTATTCATGGAAGTGTTTTGATTGGATATCATTTGATCCCATGCTGCCACGCATGAAAAAATAGTGCATCGAGGATTTGTGGCCGCTTGATGCTTCAGAATTGAAGGAGCAACAGATGGTCTTATGGCTGAAGCTACTGCCGCTCAAGATGGCATATGGTTTGCTCAGCAAATGGGGCATTAAAGGATTATTCTTCAGTCTAACAATGAGCAGGTAATATCGACTCTTATCTCATGAGGGTTTTCTGCAACTTCAACCAGTTTTCATGACTGCATGCAAGTGCCTTTGACAATGTTTCCTATGAGCTATGCCCTAGGAAAGCAAATGTGGCAGCACATGAGATAGCTAGATCGTTTTTGTTTTATTCAGATTTTTGTACCTGGGTCGATGAACCCCCTACATTTCTCATGCAGTCCCTTATAAACGATGAAACGATCTTTGATAAGGAGTAAAAAGCCCTCAGGCTTGCTAGTAAAAAAACTGTCCAGGTAGACCTCAGAGCTTACTACAGTCGGTGGGGACAAATGACAATTTCCCTACGGTGATGTCGAACAACATCTGTATGTTCTGTTGCTGGAAATTGCCCAGCACCGAACTCGAAGGCGACGTCGTCCCAACAATGTTTAAGCAGAATGAGGAGTCCTCTTCGTTAAAGGACATGTAGTTGCCCCCATGCAGCCTCATATCCGCACCGCCGGCGAAGTGCAGCACCATGTCCGGCATGGCCGGGAGCTGCCGCACACCGGCAGGGGCCGGGAAGCAAGGGCTGTCCAGGCTCCTCGTGTTGAGCGCCGGCTGGTCGAGCACCTCGGCCACGTGGTTGGCGACCACCCCGAAAGCACTTTCCACGAGGACCGTGAAGATGGTGCCGGAGTCCACAATCATCCCACCCGTGCCGTCGGCACGCAGCTCGAAGGTTTGGTTCGGGATCGGCAGGAGAGCGTCGCCGAGCGATATGCCCTCGAGAGAAACATAGTATCACGATGGACTCTGTGGGCTCTGCACAAGCGGCGTCGACTGCACGGCGGTGCCGCCACCGTGGGCCAGCTCCGCGAGGGAGCCGAACGAGACGTGGCTGCCCAGACTGGTATTGAAGAAGTCGGTGAGGCAGTAGGAAAACTTCCCGAACCCTAGCTGCGCCACGAGGGACAGGCTCCCGCGACCGAAGCCGACGAGCCCGGTGGAGTTGTACCAGTCGCCCCCGTTGTCTCTGCCGCAGCCGAACGCGACAGCTCCGGCAAAGCCGGCCGGTACTTGGCCGGGGCCAGAGCCGAACGTGAGCGTCTCCGTGCCCAGGACGCCAGCCGAGTGGGAGCCGTCGCCGTAGGCGTAGCGGTAGCCGCAGAGGGAGCTTGGGGCGCATCCACGGCTCCACACGGGCAGGCACGCGTTGCTGGAGCAGGTCAGAGGGGAGAAGCTGGACGAGGCAGTCGGGTCATAGACGGGTGTGTCCTGCGGGAAGCAGAGCTTGCACGGCTGACACTGCGTCCAGGTGAGGTCGCTGCCGGTGTCGAAGAGGGCGACGAACGGCACAGGCGGCGTCCCGATGGCGAGCTCCATGAGGTACTCGGCTTGGCCCGGCCTCCGAGCTGGAAAACGCCGTGGCCGCTCGGAGGCGGCTTCAGTGTGCGGCTCGCCGCATCAGCTCTGGCTTGGTGAAGCCGCCTCTGGAGTTAATGTGGGTGAGCGTGAAGCGGTAGCCGGAGCCGGACGGTGGTGGCGCCGCTGAGCTGACCAGTGAGGCAAGCACGAGCAGGCTCAGAGCTTGTAAGTGGCCCATGAAACTGAGCATGTGGATGATCAGCGCAAGGCTGGCTAGTGCAAACTTCAAGGAGCTCTGCGGTCCGGGCTTGAAGAGTCATGTTCAAACTTTCATGTCATTATGTAGCTAGGAGAGTTTGATGAGCAGCTAAATTTTTGCCATCTTCCTCTTCCAAGATTCTGCACCTAGTAATGTACGTTAAGTAGTAAAGGACAACACTAAGTTAAGTAGTAATGTACGTTAACAATGTTTGGAAGGTTACTTAGCATCCAGACGGAGTATATGTCATCATCAAGGGCGGAAGAACTGATAATAGAGCATTGGAGCAGAGTTGGACGGTCGGTTTTGCCAAATTATGGTCCCTAGAACTCCTCCTGGTGCCGCCATTTGCCACGGCTGTGCATAGCTAGAGCAAAGGGTGGAACGAGAAACGACTTGGCACACATGCACTAGTCGGATGCTTTGCCGCCGCTGGCGTCCATCCCACAACAAGAAAAACACATTCGTAGCCGAGTGCTTATGCTAACGTCCAGTGTTATTTGTCGGGTACTCTCTTATCTATCCCTATTTTTCTTAATAACTAGCAAAAAAGCCCGTGCGTTGCAACGGGAAAAAACAAACACCACACATCCTAACTCAACCAATTGAGCATGGCGTAAGACCTCATCTCCATGCCCCTAACCAAATAAACATGACTAAGACCTCACCCTCTGGTTGGCATCCTCTATTTGAACATGACACCGGAATCAAGTTTCCGCTTATCCACTTTTCCACCCTTGTCGTCGATAGCCGCCCTGCCAATTGTTACTAAGCAAGGTTGGCCAGGTCCAAGAACCGGATGGTTTAGCATCCTTCATGTTCGGCTAGACTAAGAACGTTGGGCAAAGATTTATCATCATTCGGCTACTAATATAGTAGGAAAAATCGAGTAGTTTGTGTTGGACACACCATGAAATTTGAGTTCGACTCCTCATGTGCGTTGTGATTGGTGGCACTGGACTGAGCAAGGTTGGCTTCTACATGACAATGTCTAGCAGAGGAGCATGTAGGTGACACGCGTCGGTTGGTCGACGCGGTCATACTGTAGACATAGTGGAGAAAAAAACATTCAATGTAGTTGTGGACATAACTTTCTTCTTAAAGAAGAACATATATTTCGTCGGCGCGCTTCCAATATTATTCAGTCTTAGGAATCTGTTTAATTAGCAGCCCCCACATATAGGCATGATTTTCCGGGGGTGGTTCTCCTAGTTTAGGAGAAAAAAGCATTTGTAGCCCGAGTGCTTATACTAACGCCCAGTGTTATTTGTCGGATACTCTCTTATAGACACCTAAGTCGAGTACCCTCGAAAAAGTGCACAGTATAAAGCGGACTCTCAGCATATCACGCGCTGAGCCGAATACCGTTAAAATGTGTTCAACTTACAAGAAGCACTCGGCGTACCTATGGAAAACGCATCGGCTTACTGACGAGCCTCGGCACTATATGGCTGCCATTTGTCCATCCTCAACGTACTTAACGTCTGCGTGACGGTTGGCTCTATAAGCCAAGTACCCACTAATGATGTGCTCGGCTTACAATTGCCTTTTTCTTTTTTTAAAAACTCCAGCCCCTTCGCCTTCATGTAAGCCGGGTGTAGGAACATAAACAGTCGGCTTAATTTTGTGTTTGCACGGCCCCCTTCTCCCTGCACTTAAACATGGTTACATGGATCCCGTCGTGGCTTAGACCTATTCCGCCTCCGGCCGGCAAGCCCCTCCCCCAACTGCAGCGCCAGCAGCCACCGCGCGCGCTCGGTGCGCTGCAGCCGCCGTCGCCGGGGGGCTGCACCGTGAACCACCACCTCGACGCCGGCGCTGGTCTCCACTCGGGAGAAATAGGGTTGTCTCCTACATTACCCATAATAGAGCTTTGCTACAGTTACGTAAGTTACTTATGAGAAGTTACGTACTGGATGACATGGTCTTAATTGATTGTATAATATTGAGAGGACGGGCCCCACCCGCTGAAATTCATGGGCATTTAGTTAGTTTATTAGGAGGGTCACGTTAGAATTTTCACAGAGTTTTCGTGGATGTAGCATTCGATCTGGATGCTACATGAACTAACCCCCTCACAATGTGGTTATTATTTCCCACAGTTTCTTCTTTTGTGATAGCAAAACTTTTTCCGTGACAATACATGATGAACTAGGGATTCTGTAGCCTACCTTGCAAGGGGACAAAACGTTCAACGCTCATAGGTTCTCACCTATTGGGATGGATGACTCAAGCAGCTCTTCAAAAACTCAATTTTAGTCACGTTTTTGTAGGTTTGGTGTGCGACAAATTTTTTGACTGAAGTTTTGAGAAATGTCAAGCTGCAAATTGTGGAGGTAGAGTTGACGATCCAAAAATCTTCAATGTATTAACTTTTAGTTGTATCAAGGAAACCTTTTTCATGCCTTTTGTGTCTATTATGTTGTGTGTGTGTGTGATCATCGTCGTTGACAGAACTCCCGTCGATTTGCTAAACAATTTGTCGTTCCCAGGGCCCTAATTTTTGAACAAAGTCGTTGCATCAGACATGTGTCCACTGAATCCTTTTTTCCGAAAAGGAGGATGCATTGCCATTGTACCTCTTTGCGGCAGAAAGTCTATGTCCCTGTTTGGTTCGGCTGTTGATTTCTAAAAGCAGCTGTGAAAAATCTGTTGTGGAAAAACAGCTGTGGAAAATCTGATGTGAAAAAGATGTAGGTCATTTGGCAAACCAGCTGATACAGCTTTTTCAGATTTTGGCCTGCAGCGGAATCAGATTTTGTAAAGCACGTCCTGGGCTGTTTCCGCTTTTGGTTCAGATTTTGGCAGCGGATCTCTGGAATCGGATTCTACTGGGTTCGCCCTTTCGTTCAAATTCTGCTGCGCGGCAGCGGAATCCATCGATAAAAACTGAACCAAGCAGGGACTATGTGCTCTGTTGGTTAGCTTTGCGGGAGCGCAAGCTGCTTACCTCCGTTTGAGGCCCAGCTCTGCCACGGGTGATTAGAGATTTTCTTCTATAAAAGTAGGCCGCCAAGGGCTAGTCCTCGGCTCCTGGCTGGTCTCGTTTTTTGTACTCCCTCCGTCTAGAAATACTTGTCGGAGAAATTGATGTATCTAGACATATTTTAGATTTAGATACGTCCATTTTTATCTATTTCTCCGACAAGTATTTCCGGACGGAGGGAGTATATCAGTGTTGAATAGGGTGCACTGCCTCCACCGGCGTCGGTCCAAAAATGGATTCGTATTTCCCAAATAGATGGAGTGCTTTTCTCTGCAGAAGCTTCTCACTTCCAAAGGCCTGAGAGGATACAGACCATACATAGTAATCTTTGACTAGGACTAATATGGTCAAAAAAACAGACGAGATCACAGTACACTGAATCTCCACATGGAAAATAATGCACTCCTGTCATATTATTAGCTGGTTCTGCCTTCCACAGGCTTGAGAATCGAGTAGCACCACGCGTATACCGGTATACGGCAAGTCAGCATCATCCGGGCAGCCAAATTCAGTGCATCGAATGGCGTGCTCTTCTTTGACCTGCGCCATCATCCGGACCGCCTGGACGCCGCCTTTCTGGAGGGGTTCAGAACTTGAGAAGATTCAATTCATCTACATGGCCGACTCCACGAGTCCATGGCTAACGTTAGAGCATGCGTCACTGGCAAGAGGTGACCAAGTTGATACGCTGCACTCGTTCCGACGTCAGCTCCTCAACTCAACTTAGGAAGATATATATAGCACCAGGACCAGGTGCTATATACGAACACACTACGGTTGCCATTGCACCGCTTCCAAGCCCTCCCAGCTTGACAGACTCCACTAGCACTTCAGCCGATCAGCCATGACCTTCGCCGGCAGCGGTGATGGCCAGAGCGGCTCTGCGAGGGCGCACTTCGTGCTGGTACCCATGATGGCTCAAGGCCGTACCATCCCCATGACCGACATGGCATGCCTGCTGGCAGAGCATGGCGCGCAGGTCAGCTTCATCACCACGCCGGTCAACGCCGCTAGGTTGGAAGGCTTCGCCGCTAAGGTGGAGGCGGCGGGCCTGGTGGTTCAGCTCGTGGAGCTCCACTTCCCGAGTGTAGAGTTCGGCCTACCAGATGGGTGCGAGAACCTCGACATGATCCAATCAAAGAATTTGTTCTTTAACTTCATGAAGGCATGTGCCGCGCTGCATGAGCCGCTCATGGCGTACCTCCGTGAGCAGCAGCGCTCCCCTCCTAGCTGCATCATATCTGACATGGCGCACTGGTGGACCGGTGACATCGCAAGGGAGCTCGGCATCCCGAGGCTCACCTTTAGTGGCTTTTGTGGCTTCTCGTCCCTTGTCAGGTACAAACATAAAGAGGCAAACCTTGTGAATACTGGATTTTTTTTTTACCCCGCAAAAAAAAAAGATTAAGTATTTTACTTCAATAGTACAGGCCAGATTACTAGTATAAATTCCTTCCAGAAAAGAAGAAAGCATACATATATAATAGAGTACACAAGATAATAAAATCGACATGTGTGCTACCTTACGTAATGAAACATGTAATTCAAACTACATAAGGAAGTATAGAAAATAAGAATTTTCATCAGATATTTGTTACGCCAGTTACAGCTGGTTGATGTGTCAACGATGTCTGCACTTCAACGTATTTTAAACAACTAATATCATCTTGCAGGTACATCGTTTTTCACAACAATGTATTGGAGAATGTCACAGATGACAATGAGCTCATCACGATCCCGGGGTTCCCTACACCGCTAGAGTTGACGAAGGCT